AAGTCATTAGTTCAACAAGTCATTGCTCAGAGGATTACAAGTTGGATGTAAGAGAAGTTCATAAACATACAAGTTTGTCTATAGTTGAGTGATTTTGTTCCTGAAGGTGTCTTTGAGATCTTTTTATCTCAAGCTATAGATGAGAGTGTTGAGCAGTGTGCTGACCACACTGTAGAATAGAAGACCAATTTGTTCTTCTCTAGAGAGTTGTTTGAACTAATATTTTGTTGTGGGACAAACATTCCAACTAAGAGGAGGGTTCATTAAGACACTGAACAATTACAGGAAGGTAAAACAATAGGATTTCTAAAGTACGGTGAAGTATTCCATCTAGTAGGAAACTCTCCTTAAAGTTCAAAAAGTAAACAGCTCAAAACAGTTTCAATACATCTCTGAAACTGGTTAGAGACTCTAGGGTTCCCCCCCCAAGTATGTATATGGGCACTAAGTTGTGCTCAGAGACACTCTCAAACAAGCATGGTGGGAGGATTTGAGAACAAAGACCCACCCCTAACTGAAGACTTGATATCTACTTCGAGAGACTTGGTTTTATTTAACAGTTTGACCTATGCTCCAGGGGATGATCCCACACCCAAAAATATTTAGACAGTATAAATTGGACTGGATGGAATTTAGAAGCAAAGGATTGGAAGTTGAGAGTGTATTAAGGAAGTAGATTTATAACAGGGAAGATTTGGGACAGAGAGTTTGAATATAATAAAAATATTTTGTATGAACTTCTCAATCAATTGAATATAACATCATTGAAAGAAAATAAATTGCACATCCAAGTGAGAAGCAAACATGCTGCAGCATCCACATGGATTGGTTCATTAGAATTCATCATCTCTGCAGCATTTTTATTCCATGCCACCTTCACTGGAGCAAGAAATCACTGCAGACAGCCTATATCTATCTGGTTCCAAACATGAATTCCAGGAAATAAAAGTAACTCATGACACTAGTTTCAACATCACCAAGTGGCAGAAACAATGGAGTCAAGATCAACTCACTCGTTCTTATTGAAGTTTTACTGTAAAATTATATCACATGGTGGCTCAATACAAATATCAGACTGTATTTCAAACTACTATCAGGACCAGATGTATCATTGTCTGCTATCCACACGATGTGTGTGTGTGTGTGTGTGTGTGTGTGTGTGTGTGTGTGTGTTTTGTGTACCTGTAAACATGGTTGGCATTGCAATGATCGAGATATATTTTTCTGTTCTCTCCACGCTGTGTGTGTGTGTGTGTGTGTGTGTGTGTGTGTGTGTGTGTTTTGTGTACCTGTAAACATGGTTGGCATTGCAATGATCTTGGGAGTTAAGCTGTTTTCTACTCTACAAGTTAATTGTATCGTGGAGAAAAGACTGATTAGCTATCTCTCATTACAAGTTCTTATCTTTGGCCTGCAAAATTGATTCTCAGAAGTGACACTAATTTCTTTGATGTAATATTTCAAAGACATTATTTTGTTTTAACATGCATCAGGGTCCACTCTAATAAGCTTTGTATTAAAACATAATTTTCTTGTGTATGCACACACATACACACAATGTAAACAAAATATAGCTTGTACAAGTAACTTTGAATGTAGACCAATGCATACCAAAGAAAAATTTATTAGAGAACATTGCTATTAATATGGTATCTTCTCAAAGTGGTATGCCTCAACTACTTTTTAATTAAATTTACTTACTTATTCTACATCCCTTACTGCAGTTTCCCCTCCCTCCTATTCTCTAATTCCCTCTCCCCACTTCTCCTCTGCCCCCTGCAATCTGCTCCTCCTCTGTTCCTGTGCAGAAAAGGACAGACCTCCCATGGGTATCAACAAAGCATGACATATCAAGCGGTAGGAGAACTAAACACCTCCCTTGAATTAAGGCTGGGCAAGGCAACCCTATATGAGGAATAGGTTCCCAAAAGCCATCCAAAGCATTAGGGATGGCTCCTGCTCCAACTATTAGGAGTTCCACAATATGCCAAGCTCCACAACTGCCACATGTATGTGGAGAACCTAGGTCAGTCTTGTGTAGGCTCCTTGATTATTTGTTCAGACTCTGTGAGCTCCTATGAGCCAAGGATAGTTGTTTTGTGAGTTTTCTATTAATGCCCTTGATTGATCTGGCTTATACAATCCTTCCACCCTCTCTTCAATAGGATTCCCTGAGCTTGACCTGTGGGTCTATGCATTCATTTCCATCAGTTACTGGATAAAGGCTTTCTAAGGAAATTCAGCCTATGGGCTCTCTACAGCCTGGAATGCCACTGCTGTCCTTAATGCCTAAAGGATGGCCAATCATAGTAATTGACCTGAAGGACTGCTTTTTCACTATACCATTACAAGAAAATGGTAGAGAGAAATTTGCATTTACAGTGCCATCTCTTAGTAACTCATAGGCAGTTCAGAGATACCAATGGAAGGTTTTATCTCAGGGGATGCTAAATAGTCCTACTTTGTGTCAATACTTTGTACAACAACCTTTAGAAATAATTCTTTAAAAATGTCCACAATCTCTTGTTTATCATTATATGGATGATATTCTTTTATCGGATTCTAATAAGGAAACTTTGGAACATATGTTTAAAATGATGAAGGAAGTTCTGCCTAGATGGGGTTTACAAATTGCCCCAGAAAAGATACAAAGAGGAGATTCTATTAACTATTTAGGATATGAGATAAACTTACAAAGAATTAGACCACAGAAGGTACAAATTAGAAGGGACCTCTATCAAACTCTTAACAGTCTTCAAAAGCTACTAGGAGAAATTTCTCAATTACAGACGATTTTTGGTGTAGAAGGACATGACTTAAAGCATTTAAAGATGGCACCAAAAGGTGATAAGGACTTAAACAGTCCAAGAATATTATCTGCTGAGGCAGAAAAAGAGTTACAATGGGTAGAAAACAGAATATTGTATACATATGTAGATCAGATAAACCTTGATTTAGACTGCATTCTGGTTATCTTGCCATCCAGAGAATACCCTTCTGGAATTCTGATGCAGAGGGAAGACACTATATTGGAATGGATATTTCTGCCACATAAGCAGAATAAAAAGTTAAAGACATATATAAAAAAGATTTCTGATTTGATTTTAAAGGACAAACTAAGACTTCGTCAGCTGACTGGAAAAGATGCAGCAGAAATTATAGTACCTTTAACTAATGATGAAATTTCCTCCTTCTGGAAAGATAATGAATATTGGCAGATAGCTCTTACTGACTTTTGGGGAACAATTAGTAACAACTATCCCAAAACTGACAGAATTAAATTAATTAAAAAGACAGTCTGTATTCTTCCACTCGTTGTAAGACAAACTCCCCTTTCTGGAGTTCTTACCTTCTACACTGATGCTAACAAATCAGGTAAGGTTGGTTATAAAACAGGTGAGGTAAGTAAAGTAGTTCAAAGTCTGAACACATCTCTACAGAAAGCAGAATTATATGCAATTCTCATGGTGCTTATGGATTTTACAGAACCTCTTAATGCAGTTACTGATTCCCAATATACAGAGTTGTCTTACACATAGAGACTGCAGAATTCGTCCCTGATAATACTGAACTAACCTCGTTGTCCTTGCAATTACAGGAAACAATCAGAAACAGAAGTAATCCACTGTAATTATGCATATCAGATCCCATACGGGTCTGCCATGCCCACTGGCACAAGGCAATGATGAGATTGTTCGTTTATTAATTGGCACTGTGCTAAAAGCCTCAGAATTTCATAAAAAGCATCATGTAAATAGCAAAGGTTTAAAGAAGGACTTCTCCATCACTTGGCAACAAGCCAAGGAGATAGTGAGAAACTGTCCTACTTGTTCCTTTTATAACCAGAGCCTTGAGTACTGACTTCAATCAAGTTGAGGATCCCAACCTAGATCTTCAATCAAGCAAATCTCATTTAACATGGACTTTAGATAACTCATTAGAGACTTTCCCTGTACTAGCATTTTTCCCCCCACAGGACCCCACATGGCTACCATCGTCCCATTTCAGCAGGAAGTAACTTAGAAGATGCTATGCCTCCATTCCCCATTATTGTTTAAGGTAATGTAAGCCTAGAAGGAGGTGTTCAGGTTGGACACACCTTTCAGATGACTTTAAGACTTAGCTGGAATAGACATAGTTAGGATGTGCAATAGCAGATTATTTTATCTTCTTATATTTCACCTTTATGATTGTTAATTTTGGATGTTTTACACTATTGAGTTTTAATCCTCTTTTAGACTAAAAGGGGAATTGTAGGAAGACACTGTAACTCCACCTCCAGGTAACCCGGACAGGTGTGCCTGAACAGGCCTGTGAGGGTGGGGTGAGGGGAAGTCGAAGGTGACGTCAGGAAAGCTTCTTAAGGGACCCCGGCCATGTGGACATTCCCTTCTGGCCCTGGTCCCGGCTCCCTTCTCCTCGCTTTGGCCTGCGCTTGGCTGGTGTATCTGAATAAAGATGTCTTTGCCCTATTGCCTGCTGAGTGATCACTTTACAAACTTGTTTCCTGTTCCCTCCAGTCCAGAGCAACCATGACTCTGTTTCTGTGAGTTTGATTACTGAGTACTTCATTAATAGAATTACATAGCATCTATCATTTTGTTAATGGTTTATTTTTCCTTGCATAATGTCTCCAAATTGTACCCATATTAGAGCATGTATCAGAATTTCCTCCTTTATATGGATATAGATATTGATGTGTTTGTACCATGCTTGGTTTATTCTTTTGCCCATTTTGGTAGTTTGAATGTAATTGCCCCCATCAGCTCATAGGGAGTGGCACTATTAGGAGGTGTTAACTTGTATGTGGCCTTTTTGGAGGAATTCTGTCACTGTGGGGGGTGGGCTTTGAGGACTCTTATGTTCAGGCTTCATCTGGTGTAGACAATGACACTTCACTTCCTGTTGCTTGCAGATCAAGATGGAGAACTCTTAGCTCCTTCTCCAGCACCATGCCTGCCTGCTTGCCACCAAGTGTCACCACCATGATAATAATGGACTAAACCTCTAAACTGTAAGCTAGGCTTAAGTAAATGTTTTCCTTTATAAAAGTTGCTGTGGTCATGGTGTCTTTTCACATAAATTGAAACCCTAACTAAGACACCATTAATAATCATTAGGTTTCTACATTGCTTTACATTTCAGTCATTGTTATAAGAAAATATGAGTATACATATCTAAAAATTTGATCCACAGACCTATTGATATAATGAAGAGTTGTTGGTTTTTTTAAATGTCTTTTTCTGTATTCCAAAAGCATGCCTGTTGCTCAAAGATGCCAGAAGGAAGAATGTAATTCCCAGGAACTAGAGTTACATATGATTATGAGGCACCATTTAGGGTTTGGGACCTGGATCATCCAGAACAGAAACCAATGTTCTTAACTACTGAGCCATCTTTGAAGCCTTCTAGTGTGGTTTTCTCATCCACTCTTTCTCTCTGCAAGTTATGTAATTACTTTCCAGTTATCAACTCTGGATTGAGATTCCAGTGTTTTTACCAATGAAAATGATTAGAAATCAGACACTAAATCCATCAAACCCTAGTACCAATTCTACAACCATTTAGAGAATTGTTATCTCCACTTTAAAATATTGAAGTATGGGAAAGTTACAAAATATCTTATGAGGTATTAAAGCTTCTCAGAAAAACAATGTCCTCATATAATCTACTCCAACATGGCAAATATAACAGTTTTGTTAAGTTATTCATCTTCATTCAGCCTAGGTGTTTATGAATGAATAGTGTGTGTGTGTGTGATCTATTCTGTTGTGAGGAAAAATAAAATCTGAAGAAAGTGGATGGATCTGGAAAGTATTATTTTAAGTGAGGTGATCTAACCTCAGAAAAATAAATACCACATTTTCTCCCACATATGAATTCCAGCTTTTAATGCATTATATGCATACATATACAAACATACCCTCACAGACACACCACACATACATGAGTATGAGAATAAATTTTGAAATCAGAAGGGGAGAAGAATATAGAGGATAGGTATTAAAGTAGGAAAGAACATACGCACTGGGGATGAAAGAGGGCAGGAGTGTTCAGGAAAGAACACAAGAGGTAACATACCAACCCACCATACCAACATACCAACACACGCATGCATACACACATCAGATACACAGATTAACAAATTCATAAATACAATAAATAAATAAATAAATAATAAGCAACTAATATATTTGTGCCATTAAAATGTTGACTATGACTACAATTCACTCCATATATTTCTGTAATTATGAAAATAATTTCAAGCTTGTTCCCAATTTGAACTAATAAAAAATAAATAAATAAAAAAGAAATATAATTTAACATAGAGAAAATGGAGACATCCATTTGCATATTAAGAGAGTACTTTTATATCCCTAGTATATTTATTTCTGATAGTACCATCTAAGAATAATTGCATGAAGATAAACATTTTAAAATTGCTTAGTTTTTTTTTTTTCCTTCATGAAAACTTGGCTGTATCTAACATTTTCTTAAAGGCATCCTTGACATCTTTGTTTCTTAAACTGTATATCAAGGGGTTCAGCATTGGAATCACTACTGTGTAGAACACTGACACTACTTTGTCCCTCTCCAGGGCATAACTAGTGCTTGGCCGGGAGTAAATGAAAAGAATTGAGCCATAGTACAAGGTGACAGCTGTCAGGTGAGAACCACAGGTGGAGAAGGCCTTAAGACGGCCCTGGGTGGAGCGGATCCTCAAGATGGCTGCAATGATGAAGAGGTACGAGGCCAAAATAAGCACCGTGGGAGTGATGACATTAGAGGCCAATATAAAATACAGCACAGCCTGGTAGCTCTCCTTAACATCACACGCTAACTTCACAAGAGGGGGCAGATCACAGAAGAAGTCATCAATGGTATTGTCTCCACAGAAGCTCAGGGTAAATGTCTCACTGGTGATAATGGTGGAGTTTACAAAGCCACCAAGGTAGGAAGCTGCAACAAGCATGGTACATAACCTTGGGGACATAGCCTGGGAGTAAAGTAAGGGGTTGGAAATGGCTGCATAGCGATCATAAGCCATGGCAGCTAGTAGGTAACACTCAGTGTAGGCCAGCCCAGCAGAGAAGAAGAACTGAGCCAGGCATCCAGCAAAGGAGATGCTTTTGTCTTCAGAGATGCAAGTTATCAGAATTTTGGGGGCATAGACAGAAGAATACCAGAGATCCAGGAATGACAAGTTTCCTATGAAAAAATACATGGGTGTGTGGAGTCGAGAATCAGCACAGATGAGAGAAATCAGGGTGATATTCCCTAGGAGACTGATGATGTAAATGATGAGGAAGATGAAAAAGAGTCCCCGCTGTAACACCATGTCTCCTGTGAATCCTAAAAGGATGAATTCCTTCACCTCAGTAACATTTTTCTCATCCATGATTTTGGGTATTTATGGTGCTTTCTGCAAAAGATTAAATTATGGCTGAATCACAAAATACTTTCTCCATTAGTTGTCATTCTACAACTGGAATGTAAAAGCACTAGGCAATAAATGTTATTCATTAAAAGATATATGTGTAGCAAATAGGTCACCACTGGTATGAACTGAAAATTAGCTCATGTTGCACACAGAGATCAGTTACTAAATACATATTAGTGCATGCCACTTACGTTTCCAACCTAAAGTCTCTATCTTTATGAATTTGTACACTGTCCTTTTATTTCAATTCTTTTATTCTTTGCTTTGGACTTCATAAGACATTGGTAGTTAGATTTCACAAAAAATTAAAGAACTTGATGAATGACTTCAGAAATTAAATAACTGATGGTGATATCTGGAAAGGATGCTACTTTATTCTTCTTTAATTCTCTAAGGGTAAAAATAAAATACTTTTAAATGGCTTTATTCACGTTTCTGCCCTAGGATTATTAACCATTTTTCATGGATACTAAAAGCACACCCAAGTGCTTGTGTATATAGTGTAGTAAGATCTAACCATATACTCTTATATATATAGTATAGTAAGATCTATCTGTTTACTCTACGATGCATGATGCCTTAGGCTTGGCTGTCCCAAGGAAGTAAGGTTTATTGTGACATAGGAGGTAGTGAATTTATTAGAGAACCATTTATTAGACTGAATTAAGGCAAGGAAGAGTAAATTAAAGTCTACTTAAATTAAAGTAATATCTATTGATAAGAACGCTACACCCCTGTATTCTAGTTTCTTTGGCACTAGAAAGTACTCTACAGGCTATGGAAAGAGAAATCTGCACACCATCCCAGCCACAAAATCCTCTCTAGCTACAATTTGTCCTGTCTGCTAGAAGTGCTGTGAGTAATGGTAGCACAGAACTTGTGGGAGTAGCCAATCATGTCTGATTTAACTTGAGACCAACTCCATAATAGGGAAACCATGACCAACACTGTTTGGATGGACAGAAGTCAGAGCCTGGATACCCCCAAGACCTATTGTTGCACCAAACATGACTGGTCTTAACAAAAACAAAAAATGAAATGATTCCTAATGATATTCTGCTCTTCCCATAGATCAGTGCTTTGTCTAGTCATCATCAGAGAGGCTTCTTGCAGCAGCAAATTGGAGCTGATAGAGAGACCTACAGCCAGATTTTATGCAGAATGGGAGTCTAAATTAGAGATCTCCATCAGGTCCCTCTCTCTGAAATGGGAAACCCACAAAAGAAGAAGAGGAAAACCTTTGGATTCGCAGTGGATGGAGGACAACAGGAGAATATGGCCAACCAAAACAAATGAGCAGGTTTCACATGGGTTCACAGAGGCTAAAGTGGCAAGAATGAGCCTGCATGGATCTGCATCAGGTCTTCTACATATATGTTATGGCCATTTGCTTGTCTATTGTGGGACTCCTAATAATGGGAGCAAGAATGTCTCTGACTTTTTGCCTGCTCTTAAGTCTCTTTTCCTCCTATTGGGTTACTTTGATCAGTCTCTGTATAAGGACTTCTGCCTTGCATTATTGTTTTTTGTCCTATATGGCTGTTTTCTTTTGGAAGTCAGACCTTTTCTGGAGAGGAAACAGAGAGGGAGTGATCTTGGGGAGAGGGGAAGTGAGGGGAGCTGGAAGGATTGAAGGGAGGGAAAACTGTGGTTAGGATGTATTATATAAGAGAAAAATGTGTTTTCAATTAAAAATTAAGAAAAAAAACTAAAGATTAAAGGATAGGAACTATGATTTTTCTGTAATGTGATATCTAGCTTTTCTATCAAAATACTTAGATTCATTTTTATCCTTTTGCCTAGGCATCTCTTTTTTAATATTCCATTCTGTCTTTTATTAGAAAAATAATTATACATGTTAAAAGAATACTATATAATACTTCAACAATCATGTCTACTGTTCACTAATCAAATATAGACTCCTCTCTCAAACTCTCCTACATAACCTCTAGTAGTCACTGTTTTACATCCAAGGTGACTGTATACATACATTGTCTATCTTCAGTTCCTGGATTATTTTACTTACTTGATATTCTCCAATTCTGAAAATGATAGGAAACTGATTCTTATTATGGCTGAATAGAAGTCCAATGAATATGCATTACAGTTCTTCATTCATTGGTGAACCCTTTGGTTTATGCCATGTATTTGCATTAGTGAATAGTACCACAGTAAGTGTGGATGTGCAAGTATCTCTTTTGTGTGCTGATCCTATTTTCTATGGGTATACAGCCAGAAGTGGGCTTATTGGATCTTAGGACAGGTTCCCTTTTAGTTTGACGAGGAATTTCCAAACTGTTCTCCGTAATAGAAATGTTTAGTTACATTCCTACCACCAACATGTGACAATACATTTTTACTTCACATACATACTGGCATTTGTTACATTTTAAGTCAACTGAAGCATGTAATATTTGCCACTCTAACTAGTGTGAAATTGTATCTCATGGTGGCTTGTTTTTATTTCTAAAATTGCTAATGGTATTGAGTATTGTCTATAATTGAACAAATTAGAGATTCCAAATTCCAGACAAAAATCCATCCCTGTCAAGTCAACTAATCTATGGCACACTTGCCAAAAGAAAACACTGAAAGAATGGCTTCTTTAATTAGTGCTGTTGAAAAAAAAAAACTCATGTGCAGAGTATTAAATCTTAATCTCTCACCCTATATACAGATATGATGGGGGATGTTCTTCTGTATATATATATATATTTCTCTTCTTGGTTGATGAATAAAACACTGACTGGCAAGGAAAGGCAGGAAGATAGGCAGGGCTAGGAGATGAGGAGAATGCTGGGGAGAAGCCCCAGAAGAGACACCATGTAGAGACCAGGAAGACAGGATGAGACAGGCATTCTCTGGTAAGATAAGGCCATGTAGAAATACATAAATTAGTAGTTAAGGGTAAATAATTAAGAGAGCTCGCCAGTAAGAAGCTCTAGCCATTGGCCAATAGTTTTATAATTATACAGCATCCGAGTATTTATTTGGGGAATATGACTGTGGGAACAGGCTGGAAAGAAACTCAAGCAACACATATAAGGAATTGTTGAATATCAAATCAGTGCTCACCTTCTCACAACCCAATTTAATGCAAATAAGTGGGAAGTAACAAATACATGTGAACTAAAATAAGTGGCAAAACTGAGAGTTAAAGAATTAATCCTTGGAGGCCTGCTTTTTTTCTGAAGGGAAACAGTGAGACAGTGGATCTAGGAGAGAAGGGAGGTGCGGGGGAGTTAGGAAGAGTGGAGGAAGGGGAACTGTGGTCAGTGTATAGTGCATGGAAAAAAGGAGCCTATTTTCAATATTTTTTCTTCCTTTAAAATATTTTATTATTTGAGAAAAAGGCATGGCATTTTAACCATATTCACTCTTTCTCCAACTCCTCCCAGATTAACCCCTATTGTATACCCACTCAATTTTGTGTTCTCATTTCTTTTAACTCATTTATTTCACTTAGTGCTGTCTGTATGCTGTTGGGTGTGTGGCCATCCACTGGAGCATTTTAATGTTTTAGAGGGCACACATTAAAAAAAATTAACTCCATTTCCTAGCAGCTATCAGTTACCAATACCCATCAGTTAGTGGGGGAACTGGGTGACAACTCCTGGCTCAATGCTGGGATTTTTGTCTGACTTCAGCTTATACAGGTCTTATGCTGACACAGATTTGTGTAAACAGATATATAAAACTAAAGGCTAACTTATGAAAAATTCTTTAATAATAGATTAATTTTAGAAAAAAAAATGATGGTGACCACTGTGGAGTTCTGAGGACTCTGAGAGACCCATGAAGGCTCTGAATGGGAAGGAGTCTGCAAAGCCCAGAATAGCTCCAGAAAAGAAAACAAAAAACATCTTTTCTTATGAAGATGCTTCTGAAAATGGACTTGTGAGCCAGGCGTTGGTGGCGCACGCCTTTAATCCCAGCACTCTGGAGGCAGAGGCAGGCAGAAATCTGTGAGTTCGAGACCAGACTGGTCTACAAGAGCTAGTGCCAGGGCAGCCTCCAAAGCCACAGAGAAACCCTGTCTCGAAAAAACCGAAAAAAAAAAGAAAGAAAGAAAGAAAGAAAGAAAGAAAGAAAGAAAGAAAGAAAGAAAGAAAGAAAGAAAGAGAGAGAAAGAAAATGGACTTGTGAAAGAACAGAGCTGCCAGAGGCAGAGACGCAGCCTAAAGCCTAAAGACAATCTATAGCCTAAAGCTCCCGCAGTAACAGGGAAGTACTGTCCAGTTCCCAGCATGGGAGCCACCAAGACTGTGGCTCCTGCTCCTTGCTCTGCTGGGAGATAGAAAGCTTCTGGTAGCAGTCATACCCACAGCCCACCAGCACAACAGACATGCTGTCCAACACCTAGGATGGGGTAGTGTACAGGGGCCTGGAGATCTCTTGGGAAAGTCATTATTAAGGGTTGATCCAGCATGGAGCCACTGTGCCTGCAGCCTGTGTTGCTTGCCCTGCTAGGAGCCAAAGTGTGCTGGGGAGACTACAAGCACAAAGATACAGCTGAATGGGAGCTTGTTCAGAACCTGCCCCTGGATTTACTGCCTAGACACAATACCATCCTGACTCTGGGCAACAGCAGTATATCTGAAAAGAGTCTCGGCAATGGTCCAACATTTACAGTGCTTCAGAAACCTTGAATTAGTCCAACGTCTCACTGCAATGAATAGTTGCATATAAAGCTGTTAGGACGAAAAAAAAATAACCTATGGTGCACATCGCAGTTTCCATTCTCACTACTACAAATGAACATCCAATGGAGAGGTAGGAAAGATAGGGGACTAGTGTGGTGAACTAGAGACTTGGTAAGTGACAAGCATGAGAGATGGCTGCAATGGATGGAGGAACATGTCCTGTTGTGTGGGGCCAATAGCATGGTGTGCAACAGCCTGGAGCTTGTGCAGACTCAGACCCTGAACATGCTGCCCAGCCTTGGTTCTGAGCAAAGCAGTTTTTTAAAAGAAAAAGATAAGTGGGGGGTGAGGCTTAAGATATGAGGAAGAGGAGGAGCTGTATGTGGTTAAATAAAATGAAGGATGCATGAAAAAGACTTAAAGAAACTGGCTAGTGAGTTTCTGTAAGTTACTACTCTAATTTCAAAATACATCTCTTTTAAAACTGTGTTTGAATTAAATAACCTTTCATGGGAAGGCAACAGTGTTCCCAGATACATGTGTTATTAAATGAAAATCACACTACAAAGTATGTAATATCGTCCTATAACTTTTGGTCAGGGAGTCCTGAGAGGTCTCCAAAACATCACAGCCTATTGTCATTGCCCTTGATTGGCTCCCATACCCATAGAGTAAGACCATATTGCTGAAGACACCAAAAACATTGGCTGGAAAACACAGAAAAATCTGTCTCAAATTGACCCAGCTGTTTCCTTCTTTGTAAGTGGATTTGACAGTGAAAAAGGATGTTAATGCATGCTATGGAAAGAAAAAAGACATCTGCTGTCTTACCCAGAAACTAACCCTGCATTTCATGATACCGTCTGGTACCACAAGAATACTGTTATTTAGGGAATAGCCAACCATGCTCTGATTCTACTTGAAGCCTGCTTCACAGGCTAGGATTCTAAGTCTTTTACTGAAAGGCTGGTGAGAAGCTCATAGCTAGAGTTTATATGCCCTAGGATGGAACCAGTTAGTGTTATCTTGCTAAATGCCCATGGTTTCAGTTCTTATCTAAATATTTATGCTTATAGTCATAGACCTGTGGTGTTATCAATCTTAGTCAGAGAAGCTTCATTTTAATGTAGACATCAGGCAATGGAGAGATGTATAATTTCTCAAAGCACCAAAAACAAGAGGCTGAATGTCCAGTTCTAAAGATACCTATGTCAACACAACACCACCAAGGCTCAGAGAACATTGCAGAGGGTTATAAATGACATAAGACCCTATGGGTAATGAATGTCCTGAAATTTCTTCTTCTGGATATGACATAGCTACTGAACTCATGAACACACAGCACCTGCCAATACCTTAATAAGACCTAAACCAACAAGATCAAGCCAGCTAAAATCATAGTGTAGATGGGGTTGATAGTCTCCAGTCCATATCCTGTACTGATGAGTTATAGGAAATGAATAATTCTGGGAGTGGGGAGAGAATCATTCTCCTTTTTTTTTGAGGATGCGTGAACAATAAGTCCCCAAGTTCCAGTGGATGGCCCCAACCTGTTCATATACAGGAACCAGTGGACTTGCCTTTAAAGTTCAAATTATTGATAACAGCTGTGAAAGACCTTTCTTTCCTTACAATTTTGTTTCTTCCACAATTATAAAAACTGAACTAAATATAAGTGTGGAGGTGTGTGTGTGTGTGTGTGTGTGTGTGTGTGTGTGGGTGTGTGTGTGTGTGTGTGTGTTCAACTGGACTTACCAAATACAATTAATTGCAGGCTGTTTGATAGACAAAAAACACACTAAGCCACAATCCAAATTTTATTGGTAAAAGGCATTCATTAATAATGCCAAAAAGAAAGAATTCTAAATATATGGAGAGAAGAATAAAATGGCAAGTCTTATCTATGGGATTGTGTGAATCACATATTTCACCAGAAATTTTGGTCCATTTCATAGATGTAATTAATAGTACTCAAACAATGTAATAAATCATTCAGGAAACTTGCTAACATTTTTCACACTTAACTTTAGAACTTTCCTCCTAAAGTTTCTTGTAAAAGGTATTAGTGAAAAGTCATGTATAACATGGACATTACCATCCATGAGTCTGGTTATGGAAACGTATGGTGGCAAATAAGAAGACAGAAAAAAACATATACAAATGTTTTCTGGGATGTACTTAGCTGCTAGGCCTTGATCAGTGTAAAGCTGGCTACATATACATTGGATTCAAGCTGGGATCAGAAAATTTCCCCTCATAAATTATGCCTCTCTGTCATCAGATAGTCCCTTCCTTAAGCATTTAAGGAAAAATGCTTAAACAGTTACTTATCTCTCTCCTCTCAAAGCTTATAATATCAACTGACTTTGCCATTTCACTTTGGACTCTGCTATTGAGTTCTTCATATATGGTTATCATAAATACTCAGCATAAAATGAGCATTACACAATACACATATATATGTGTATATGTAAGTATATATACATATGACTTACTCCTGAGGAACTAACTTATCTATTCACTGCTTAGCAGTACAAAAGAAAATTTTCCACAATCATGAAAATATTAATTCATGATGTTTCTAAGTAAACTGCTATAAGTACAAAAATGGTCTTTACAAATCACAGGAGGGACTATATTCATAGGCCATAGCTACAGAAAATCTATGAGAATAAAGGCACACACCATGTTTTCATTAAACCCAATTTTTTAAAGAAAATAAAGGATAAACGGGAGATATCTTAAGACTCTTCAGCTTTCCATTAAGTATAATCACAAATAGAAAACCTCATTGTATTTCATGAAATAGAAGTCTACTGTGGATTGTTTATATTAAGCATCATTTTTTTTTTGGTTTTTCGAAACAGAGTTTCTCTGTGTAGCTTTGGAGCCTATCCTGGCACTCGCTCTGGATACCAGGCAGGCCTTGAACTCACAGAGATCAGCCTGCCTCTGCCTCCCAAGTGCTGGGATAAAGGTGTGTGCCACCAATGGCTGGATAAGCATCATTTTATCTTTTGTCCATATCATAATTTACAGCCTAGTTACTTTGGCTAATTACACTTAATACTTACTTTCATGGACTGTCAACTTCATCTGTATT